AGAAAAAAAGAAAAAAAAAAAAGATGAGGAGGCTGGGCATGGTAGCTCACGCCTATAAAGCCTAGCACTTTGGGAAGCCCAGGCAGGTGGACTGCCTGAGCTCACAGGTTTAAGACCAGCCTGAGCAAGTGTGAGACCCTGTCTCTAAAGTTAAAAAAACAAACAAAAAAAAAAACAGCCAGGCATTGTGGCAGACAAATCACTTGAACCCAAGAATTTGAGGTTGCTGTGAGCTATGACCCTATGGCACTCTACCAAGGGCAACAAAGTGAGATTCTCTCTCTCTCAAAAAAAAAAAAAAAAGAGGAAGAAAAGCATAAAGGAAAAATAAGGACTAAAAGACAGCTGCAATAATCAAGAATAGGAAATTTAAAAAGCCCTTAAAGAGGCCTGGTGCCCCAGGCAGCGCCTGTGGCTCAAAGGAGTAGGGCACTGGCCCCATATGCCGGAGGTGGCAGGTTCAAACCCAGCCCCAGCCAAAAACTGCAAAATTAAAAAAAAAAAAAGAGGCTTGGTGCCCATAGTTCAGGGGTTACAGTGCGGGCCACATACACCAGGGGTGGCTGGCTCAAACCTGGCCTGGGCTTGCTAAACAAAAATGACAACTACAACAAAAAAATAGCCAGCATGGTGGTGGGTGCCTGTAGTCCCAGCTACTTGGGAAGATGAGGCAAGAGAATTGCTTAAGCCCAAGTGTTTGAGGTTGCTATGAGCTGTGACGCCACAGCACTCTACCAAGGTCAATATAATGAAACTGTCTCCAAACAATAAATAAATAAATAAATAAAAAGCCCTTATGGAATCCATTTAAACTAAAATGAATGTGGTTAATATACAAATGTCACACATCTCCAAGGGCTTCTTACTACATCTAAGACAGCAATGTAGCTTTCGCTAAGCTATAATGCTTTATTTGTTTCATCTCTGGCTACTTCTATGTTTCTATCCTCCTCACACAATGGCCTCTCTGCTATTCCTCTTACCAAACACTGCCACTTACCTCAGGTCTTTTACATGTACCATTACCTCTGGCAGGAATATTTTCCTCCTAAAGAGTCCCAAGGCTCACTCCTTTCTTTAGTCGTGTCTCTTCTCAAATACCATCTCATCTGAGGCCCTGCTAGAGATTACCTTGATTACCTTACTTAAAACTTTACTTTAGTCTGGGTGAGGACTCACATCTGTAATCCTAATGCTCTGGGAGGCCAAGAGGGGTGGATTGCTTGAGTGCAGGAGTTCCAGACCAGCCTGAGCTAGAGTGAGACCCTGTCGCCTCTACTAATATTAGAAAAAACTAGCTGGGCATGGTGGTACTTGCCTGTAGTCCCAGCTATTCAGGAGGCTGAGGCAAAAGGATCTCTTAAGCCCAAGAGACTGAGATTGCTGTCAGCTATAATACCATGGTACTCTACCCACTGTGACAGAGTAAATAAAATTTTACTGGAGACACAGTGATTTTCTTTTTTTCTTTTTTTTTTTGACAGAGCCTCAAGCTGTCCCCCTGGGTAGAGTGCCGTGGCACTATAGCTCACAGCAACCTCCAACTCCTGGGCTCAAGCGAGTCTCCTGCCTCCGCCTCCTGAGTAGCTGGGACCACAGGCGCCCGCCACAACGCCAGGCTATTTTTTGGTTGCAGCCGTCATTGTTGTTTGGCGGGTCCGGGCTGGGGATTCGAACCCGCCACCTTAGGTGTACGTGGCTGGCGCCTTAGCTGGTTGAGCTATAGGCGCCGAGCCGACACAGTGATTTTCAACTGGTGTGCTGAGAAAATTTTTAGAGAGCATTAAATTATCATTATTTTTTGAGACAGTCTCAAACAGCTCACAGCAACCTCAAACTCTTGGGCTTAAGTGATTCTCTTGCCTCAGCCTCCCAAGTATGTAGGACTACAGGCTCAGTGCCTATAGCTCAGTGGCCAGGGTGCCAGCCACATACACTAGAGCTGGTGGGTTCAAATCCAGTCCAGGTCTGCGAAGCTGGGAGTATAGGCACCTGCCATAATGCCCAGCTATTTTTGTTGTTGTTGCAGTTGTCATTGTTTTAGCTGGCCTGGGCTGGGTTCAAACCTGCCAGCCTCAGTGTATGGGCACTGAGTCAATATATTCTGTTTTTTAGTCCTTTTTTTTTTTCTAAAGAGATAGTCTTACTTTATGGCCCTCGGTAGAGTGTCGTGGAAATCACAGCTCACAGCAACCTCCAACTCCTAGGCTTAGATGATTCTCTTGCCTCAGCCTCCCAAGTAGCTGGGACTATAGGCGCCTGCCATAATACCTGGCTATTTTTTTTGTTGCAGTTTGGCCGGGGTCGGGTTCGAACTCGCCACCCTTGGTATATGGGGCTGGTGCCCTACTCACTGAGCCACAGACACCCCCTTTAGTCCCTTTTTTTTGATCAACATAATTTAAGTGTGCCACAGAAGTTCGTAGGTTCAGGTGTACTGAGCAATAAAAAAGGCTGAAAAACACTTGACTAGAGCATTCAACAACCTCAAAATATATAGTCAGCTCTCCATATTCATGGGTTCTACATCTGTGAATTCAACTAACCATGGATAATACTAAAAAAAAAAAAAGGATGGTTGTGTTGTACTGAACATGTATACATTTTTCTTATAGTCTCTAAGAATACAGTCTAATTACTTACAGAGCATTTACATTGTATTGGGTATTATAAGTAATCTAGAGATGATTTAAAGTATATGAGAGGATGTGTGTTGGTTATATGCACATACTATGCCATTTTATATAAGAGGATTTGAACATCAGTGGATTCTGGTATCTGTGAGGTGTCCTAGAACCAATTCGCCAAGAACACTGAGAGACAACTGTATATCTCTTGTGTTGCTTTTTCTCTCATTAGAATATAAGCTTAAAGGAAGGTAAAGAGTTTCTCAATCTTGTTCACTGCATTATCTCCAAACCTCAGAACTTTATCTAGCCCAGAGGCTCAATAATCAATAAGTGTGTTGTATGAAGAATCTAAGTACTGCACAAGACAAGAAAAAACCCTGGGTACTAATGATTCTTTCTTTGACATTCCAGAAAAGGCAAAACCATAGAGATAGTAACAAGATCAATGACTGCAGGGAGAGGTGGAATGAAAAGGAAGAACACAAATAATTTTTAGGGCAGTGAAAATATGCTATATGATACTCTAGTGGATACATTTGTCCAAACCCACAGAATGTACAACACCAAAAGTGAACCCTAATGTAAACTATGAACTTTGTGTGATTATGAAATCAGTGTAGGTTCATAAATTATAACAAATGTACCATTCTGTTGGGTGGTATTGATAAACGGGAGTGGGTATGGTCATGAAGGGACCAAAGGCACACGAGAAATTTCTGTTACCTTCCTCTTGATGTTGCTGTAAACCACTCTAAAAAATAAAGTCTACAAAAAAAAAAAAAAAGGACTCTAAGTAGTAAAGTTGAAAAAAATTTTTTTCAAAGAAAAATGGATATAAATATCGACTAGTTGACTGGTATATTCTATTCAGCCATAGTGCTTATAAATAGGATTTCATGAACTGTTTAAGAATTCTAAAAAGCATCAAAAACAGATTTATAGAATGTGCCCTTCTAGAAGTATATTCTGATTTCTAGCTACACAAAAGGAACTGATCATTAGCTACACAGTCCCTTACAACTGATGTCTCTACTGTCCAGTCTGTTCAGCTAGCAAGCCATCAGGACTAAAGGAAAGAACAAAGCACTTCCACATGGCTCCCTGAAGTCCCAATAACCAGTTGTTCAACCAGCTGTCAGCAAAGGGGGACCTGTCTAACTCTCCCGAAAGCACCACGCAGAGCCGTCACACCCCACCAGTTGTGTAATCACATCAGCAATCAGGTGTTTATGAATTAGGAAATTCCTTTAGTGTTTTGAAATAAAATAACCAAGGACAAAAGACAAAAACATGACTCACACATGAAACCTGACTACTTGCGAGCTGGAAATCAACAGCCCTCTCTAACAACTGCTTCCTGGGCCTAGCTTTCCTTTTGCCCTTTTCTTTCTCATTACTCCTACTTGAGTCTAATAATGTAAGCTAGGTACGGTAACAAAAAAGCTAACACAGTTCCATTCTACCTACTTTCATGATTACTTTCAAAAATTTAGTTAGGCAATAAGCAAAACAGAAAGAAATACTACACTGTCCCCTAATATTCTGAAATGCTCCTTCTTTAATGTACTAAAGGAAGAAAGGATCAGGCAGATAAAATAATATTTGAAAAGAAAGACACAAAAATCAGCAAGTCTAACAATTTCCAACAGCATTTCTAATAGTTATCTTCAAAATTTGGGAAGGAAGGGATCCTAAAAGAAAACCTGGATTATATCTTTAACTTTTTTTTTTGAGAGAATCTCATTATGTCACTCTCGGTAGAGTGCCCTGGCGTTATACCTCACAGCAACCTCCAACTCCTGGGCTTAAGTGATTCTCCTGCCTCAGCCTCCCAAGTAGGTGGCTGGGACTAGAGGCGCCCGCCACAATACCCGGCTATTTTTTTTGTTGCAGTTGTTTAGCTGGCTCGGGCCTGGGTTCAAACCCACCACCTTTGGTGTATGTGGCTGGTGCCATAACCACTGAACTATGGGAGCTGAATCTTTAACTTTTCTAACCAGTAAGAAAAGCCAATACAGCTTTTCTTTGCTTCTTTAAATAGTGACATGTAATTCTCTGATTGGTTATCTAGGTAAAAGTACCAGAAAACTTTGCAAGCATGAAAAGATAGGGAAACTTCTGACTTGAGAGACAACATACCAAAAGGTTCTATAAATTGATAAAGTTTTTCACCAACTGATATCGCTTCTGTATACTGACGCAGATGATAAAGAATGACCGCTTGGTTATAATACAACATGCTGTTTTCAACATCATCTAATCCATCCATTTCTTCAACAGCCGAATGGACCTATAAAACAATCAACAAAGATTGTACTCTAAAAACATCATTAAGGAAATAAAGCGCAAAAATGAAAGATCCATTTAAGTTAACAGAAACACAACTTTTTTTTTTTTTTTTTTAACTGAGACAGAGTCTCACTTTGTCACCCTTGGTTGTAGCTCACAGCAACTTCCAACTCTTGGGCTCAAATGATTCTCTTGCCTCAGCCTCCCTAGTAGCTGGGACTACAAGCACCTGCCACAATTATTTATTTATTAATTTTTTTTTTGTTAAGCAGGCCCGTGCGGGGTTCAAACCCACCAGCCCTGGAGCATGTGGCTGGCACCCTAACAACTAAGCAATGGGTGCCCAGCCAAGCCAACACTCTTATTCTTAATTTTTCCAACAGTACCTCTAGATTTTCAATTACTCTCACATACCAACAATTATTTCATTTGTCTGTTTCATACACAATAAAATTCTGCTTTTTCTTTTTTTTTTTTTTTTTTTGGGGTTAGAGTCTTACTCTGTCACCCAGGTTAGATTGCAGTGGCATCACCACAAGTGACTGCATCTTCAAACTCTATGGCTCAAGTGATTCTCTTGCCTTAGCATCCCAAGTAGCTGGGACTACAGGCGCCCACCACAATGCCCAGCTATTTTTCAAGACAAGGTCTCACTCTGGCTCAGGTGGGTCTCAAACCTGTGAGCCTCAGGCAATCCATCTGCCTAGACCTCCCAAGTGCTGGGATTACAGGTATGAGCCATCATGCCTGGCCTTCAGCTTTTACTTTCTTTTTTTTTTTTTTTTTGAGACGGAGCCTCAAGCTATCCCCCTGGGTAGAGTGCCATGGCATCACGCTCACAGCAAACTGGGCTCAAGCGAGTCTCCTGCCTCAGCCTCCCAAGTAGCTGGGACTACAGGCGCCCGCCACGACGCCCGGCCATTTTTTGGTTGCAGCCGTCATTGTTGTTTGGCGGGCCCGGGCTGGGGATTCGAACCCTCCACCTTAGGTGTATGTGGCCGGCGCCTCAGCCGCTTGAGCCACAGGCGCCGAGCCAGCAGCTTTTACTTTCATTTTAAAATTTTATTTACTTACTTGTTATTATTATTATTTTGTAGAGACAGAGTTTTAGTTTATCACCCTCGGTAGAGTGCTGTGGAGCTCATAGCAACCTCCAACTCCTGGGCTTAGGCTATTCTGCCTCAGCTTCCTGGGTAGCTGGGACTATAGGCACCCGCCACAACGCCCAGCTATTTCATGTTGCAGTTTGGCAGGGGCCAGGTCTGAACCCGTTACCTTCGGCATATGGGGCTGGCGTCCTACTCACTGAACCACAGGCATCGCCCAATGTATTTATTTTTTTGAGACAGGGTCTTGCTCTATTGCTCAGGATGGAGTGCAGTGATGTAATCACAGTTCAATAGTTCACTGCAACTTAAAACTCCTGAGCACAAGTAATCAATCCTCTTACCTCAGCCTCCTTGAGGAGCTTGGCCTACAGGTATGTGCCACTACACTCAGCTAAGTTTTCTACTTTTTGTAGAGACAAAGTCTCACTATGTTGCCCAGCCTGGTCTGGAACTCCTGGCCTCAAGGGATCCAACCACCTCAGCCTCCCAAAGTGGTAGGATTACAGGTGTGAGCTACCACACCTGGACAAGTAAAACATTTTTGGGGATTTTATTAAGTACTTAGCAAAAGGCAAGGCAATTCTCTTCTTAGCCATGATGAAAATATATTCCCTGTTTTAACTGCCAGTATGTTTCTAATGGGATTCCCACTTTCTTTCTTTCTTTTTTTTTTTTTTTGAGACAGAGTTTTACTATGTTGCTCTTGGTAGAGTACCATGGCATCACAGCTCACAGCAACTTCTAACTCTTAGGCTTAAGTGATTGATTCTCTTGCTTCAGCCTCCCAAGTAGCTGGGACCACAGGTGCCCACCACAATGCCTGGCTATTTTTTGTTGTTGTTGTTATTGCTGTCATTGTTGTTTAGCAGGCCCTGGCTGGGTTCCAGCCCACTAGTCCCAGTGCATGTGGCTGGTGCCCTAACCATTAAGTACAGGTACCAAGCCGGGATTCCCACTTTCTAATTTCATGAGTGACAAAGGGCAACATGGGAAGTGGGAAGAACTCAGGATGACCTTTCTCACAAACATGTTATATAGTATGCATTGTCTGAGGCCGTTTTGTAAAAATGGAAATAATACTTAAACATTAACAATAGTTAACTACTTACCATGTGCTAGGTTTACTATGTTAAATCCTTACCATAATTCTAGGACATAGATAACTTCATTTCCATTTTATAGATGAGGAAACCAGGACAGAAAAGCTTAATTACTTTGTCCAAGACCATATGCCTAAGAAGTGTATTTTCAGGTTTTGTTCCATAATAAAAAAGAATAATTTTTTTAAAGTAATGAACAACAAAAATACACTATATCACACATGTTGGTTACAATAGACTTTTTTTTTTTT